TGATCTGCACAATCACTTTAATGACTGCAACTAGGACAATCAAGATTTTCATTGTCTCGCTTAATGATCATTTTGCTCAATAACTGAGATTGTGGTCCTAATTCAAGGCCTACTAGTATACTTTCAGAAAGGTGTAAAAACATGGTTCTGCGGCCTTGCTTCAGGCTCACAGAAGAGTACACAGCCATGCGCTGGTTGGTGCCCTGAAAGCCCTACCCCTGCCTTTTCATTAATTTTAATATTAATTTTAATTCATCCTTGTCCTTTTAAATTATAAATTTCGTATAATGTTTTTATGTTTTAACATTTTTTACTTGTATACCTCCCAGAGTCCCTCTATGATGCAAATGGACAGTTTTAAAAATTTGATAAATAAATAAAATAAATACTAGATTCTAGTATATCTAATGAAATCAATTTGCACAGAAATTATTTTATGAGGAAACTTGATGCCTATATAAAACTAGTATCCTTGATTAGAAGATGCACAACCTGAATAGTCTCATACTGGATATTACAAGATTTTTTTAAAAAAATATATCTTTTCTATAAAGGAAGACTAATTTAGAATTTGTGGTAAATGCTATATTCATTGAATATTTTATATTTGAACCACTTCCACAATCATTTATCTCAGTAAGCTCCTTTTAGAGGACATACAAACTTCTGTGAAGCACTGTATGCCTTGGGCTTTGATCTTCAAGTGGTTCTTTTATATTAAATACCATAAAAAGTGACATCTTTGCTGCCTTATTATGTCCTCTAATTGAATTAATATGGTAGTAATTCTTAAAACAGTTCTTGATTTGAAAAGACCCAAATGATATGCTAATTTGATCATCTCTGATCATTGGATTCTGGAAGACATACTAGACAACATTATTGTATAATACTAGAATTCTAAGCAATGTTGGGCAGTTGAATCTGAGTTATAGTTAACTTGGTTCAATTAATTTTTTTAAGGAAGTAAGATTTCTTGTTGCTCATTAATATTAAGATGGTTGCTTATTGTAGACTTAGGAAGAATGTTGTACATTAGTATACTCTAGAATAAGCCTGCCCAGTAAAATGCTTTTTTGTTTTTGTTTTTCCTTGTTAAAAGTATCAGGTTGAAATATTTGTTCCTGTTAATAATTTTACAGAAATATTAAAGGCAAATATTTTATGATGTGTATTTTCCATTTATATAATATTATATGTATATTATATAATCTTGAGAAAAAATCAGTCAAAATGCATTTCTGTTTACCGTATTTATCGGCGTATAACACGCACTTTTCCCCCCTGAAAATAGGGGGCAAATGATGTGTGCGTGTTATACGCCGATATACGGCCAGCCCGGGTAAATTCGGCCATATTCTTCAATACGGGCCGGCCCCAGCAGTTCCCCTCTCCTCTTTGTGTGTGTGTGTGTGTTTGTCTCTCTCTCTCTCAATTCTCCCCNTTTTGTCTTTAGCAGTCATATTCTTTGTAAGAATTTTAGTCTTTTGAACATTAGTTCTAAATCCAGCCACCTTGCCATATTGATGCAGCACTTGCAACAAAGTTTCCAGTGACTCAATTGGTTGAGACAATGTAAAAACTAAATCATCCGCAAAAGCTTTAAGTTTATATTCTTTAGCAGAAATTCTTAAGCCTTTAATAATTGCAGAATCTCTAATTCTGGATAGTAGAATTTCTAATGACAGTACAAATAGTAAAGGAGAGAGTGGACAACCTTGTCTAGTACCTTTTTGTATATCTATAGGCTCTGTCAAATCTCCATTTATATAATTATCTGAGCAGTCTGTTTTTGATATATCGCCTTTATAGCTGTTTTAAATTGGTCTCCAAAGTTCATATAATCCAGCAATTTATTTAAAAACTGCCATTCCAATTTGTCAAAAGCCTTCTCCGCATCAAGAAAGATAAAGACCGAAGGTATTTGATTATTCTTGTCCAAATATTCCAGTAGATTTACAATTTGCCTGATATTATTCTTCATGTACCTCCCAGATATAAAACCAGTTTGATCATCGTGTATATAATGTTGCAATATCTGCATCAATCTATTAGCCAAAATTTTTGCAAAAATTTTGTAATCCACATTCAACAAGGAGATAGGTCTATAATCTTTAAGCTCGGGGGTCGCATAACTAGTTAGCATGCCAGAGTCTCGTTCGTTATCGGAATTAACCAGACAAATCGCTCCACCAACTAAGAACGGCCATGCACCACCACCCACAGAATCGAGAAAGAGCTATCGATCTGTCAATCCTTTCCGTGTCCGGGCCGGGTGAGGTTTCCCGTGTTTCAGGGTCTTTTTAATTTTAGATTTTGGGGAGAGTCAGGAATTTTTCATTTTATTAAAATGAGTAATAATCCCTGGTCCAGAGCACAAGTGATTATACTACTTCGTGATTTTATTTAATCCAAGGACTTGTTTGTAGGAATTATGAAGAAAAGTCTTCTAAAGAGTTATTATACCATGAACAAATGTACTGTGGAGTTCGTTATCTAGAGAAATGGTGAACTCTCTTTTGCGTGCATATGTTCAAGTAAGGGCAAAAACTTATCTAATGGGGATGGTTTAGTTTAGGTTATATGGCATTAAGATTTGTTGTTGACCTCTTTCAGTGTTTGACATTGAAATTTTAAAAAACTGATAATACATTAACTGTGGAAAGATCCCATTCCATATCTTTTCCTCCACCTAGCAATTCCCTATTTTGCCTTGTTCAGTGATCTAACCATAGAGAGAAATTTCTCAGAAACTGAAGATGGCTGCAGGAGGACAAAGTACATTATGTGTAATTTCACAAATGCAATAGAAAATATAAAGTCAAGAATTCTAATTTCATTTATGATGTGAAGAAAGGTGAAAAAAGTAGTTGTTGATGCAGGTGGAGTAGTGGAGAAAACTGCTACTGTCTTTTCCCAAAAGTAAGACCTACGTCTATCTTGATTTTTGGGAGTGGGCCTAATATAAGCCCTACCCCCAAAATAAGCCCTAGTTTGGGGGCAAGGTGCATGCCTAAAAATCAATCTAGGGTAGGGTGGGGGAGTGGAGCTGCCCCATGCGCCCTGCACCCGCTTACTGTTGCAGCCAGGCCTCGCATCAATCGGCACCTGCCTCAGCTCACTGACCCACTTCTTCGGCACCCCCCGGCCTGCATTTCACCATCAAAGGCCTTCTGGAAAGGCCTTTGCAGCCGAAAACTGAGCTACAGATTCAATCCGTAGCTTGGTTCTCGGCTACAGATGCCTTTCTGGAAGGCCTCGGCGAAATGCAGGCCGGAGCTCCATTCTCAACTGCAGAGGCATTTCCTTCATCCACAGAAGAAATGGGCCAGCTGGGCGGAGCTGTCAGTGCTGCCGCCATGAGGTGAGACTGTGGAAAAGACCCCCCCCCCCAAATAAGACCTGGTGCCTCTTTTGGAGGCAAAAAAAAAAAGACCAGGTCTTATTTTCAGGGAAACACAATAGTATTGAGAAGACTAATCACAGGTAGTTATGTCTTAAAGAGGGGGATCTTGGTTGTCACTTTTAAAGCTCTATATGACATTGAACCAATTTACTTATGAGACTTCCTATTCCCAGTGATTTCTGCCCATTCCTCTAGATATGGTAGAGTGGGCATGCTCGGATTCCCAATGATGAAGAATTGTCACCGGGTGGATTCCAGGAAATGGGTCTTCTCTCCCTTGGGGCCTATCCTGTGGAACAGCCTCCTTCCCATTCCCCCACCCTAGATTTAGACAATCCTGTTCCTATTAGCTTTTCAGAAGATTGAAAATCTGGCTCTTTCCCCTGGCAGTGGGCCCAGGATATTGATGGATCTCTAGTGTGAGTGTGATTTGATACATCAATGTAATTTTTAGGTTCCTTGGTTCAATTTCTTTTGAAATGATTAGTTTGTGTTGAAGTTGTGTAGCTTATGTTTTATTTTTGCTTGTCTACCAGAATTCCTTGTTTAGAACGAGTGGTTAAATATATTTGTTAAATAAACAAATCTAGTTAAATAGTATGGGGAGCAGGAAAATCTTTTTTTTTCCCCTAAAATTTTTATTGATTTTTCAATTGAAAACAATAACATAAATATGATGCCTTTAATTACAATATCAACCAAGAAATTAACACTATTCAATACATTCACGGAAGTGCCCGGTGTCCCCCCCTGCACCCCCCTCTTCACTTACCACACCTTCCTCCTCCCAATCCTACAACCTCTCCTCCTTCCTCCCTCTCTCCTACCTCCCTT